GTGCTGTATGCAGCGCAATTCTTGTTTAATCCTGAGCTCTGTCAAATGCTCAAGAACACTAGCACCCCTAACTTTATGATATACAGTTTGCAAGGACCTTCTGCATCAGCTAAACAGCAATGATGGACCAACCCTGCCTGGTAATCCAAGAAATGTGACGATAACAAGACAACAAGGGAACAAAACAACATTGAAAGCAAATCCTCAGATCCAACAAAGGAGTGCCTCTTGCTATGTTTCCTTTCCATCGTCCACGTCACTCTTATTTGGAGTCTGACCTGCTCTGCTTCTACATCTTCCAATCCTGTTAATACCTGTAGCAGAACTGTGGGTCCCAGAATACCACGGTACAACGGTAACATCCACCTTGCTAGACCGGTTAAATGTCACCTTGAATGTACGTGGGGCAAGAGAAAATCAGACACTGATCGTGAAGCATATGTACAGCAATTATCTAAGCTCAGGCAACCTATCGACGGTGCCCAGGATTCTTTTTTTTTCTGACAGTTAGCCATCGGTAACATGAAAGATGCTTTCAAAACCATCCATACTCTTTTAAACACTAAATGTAGCAAACTTCCAGTTGGTGAATCCGGTAAACCCTTAAGTGATAAGTTAAAATTCTGAAGATAAGGAATGCACTTGATGTTACATCCCAGACTGGAGGCAATGCTTACCACTTGATTTCCGTGATGTTCCTGTTGATTTTACCTTATCAGACTTTTACTCCAGCTGATGATGGAGAAATTACCAAAAGCCATTGTTGGTTCACCCCTCAAGTCTTGTTCACTTAATAGTTACTTAATACCTCGCCTACATGGTTGCTAAAGGACCGAGTTCATGTGATGGTTCCTTAAATAACTTGTATTGTCAACACGTCCTTGCATACAGGCACATTTCCCAGTGCCGTACGCCGTGACATTGTTACACCTGTTCTTAAGAAAGCTGTTTCCAACATTGCCTTCTTGTCCAAACTGATGGAGAAGGTTGTTTCTTTTCGCTTGAATGCTTGTGTTGATTTCAATTCTCTCAACCAACTCTTTCGGTCACATACAGGAGCATAGTACCGAGACCGCTTTGTTGTGGGTGAAAAATTATATCGCGGCTGAATTAGGTGACAACGCTGTGTATCTCGTCATGCTTAATTTTTGTCAGCTATGGGCAAGTTTCGTATGGACTTTTTTCTAAGGTTTGGGGGAAAAGTCACCTTGTGGTCAGCCTGTGGTCATTTTCAGGCAAACTATGGGAAATGCTTCATTTTCTAGGCATTTCAAAGCAAATCCACATAATCTACATATGGTCAGTAACAGCCTAGTTAAGACCAAATAGTGTCTTTACAAAGGTCAAAGATCAACCAGTGGTCAGCAACAGTCATTTTCCTGACAAACTTCCCAATGAGGTCATTTCTCAAGTCCTATGAAATAACTGGGGCAATATTTGTTCATTTATGTGGGCTGTCAAATATGCACTTCTTGTAGAAAAAGGTTTATGATTTGCACTCTTCCTGCCTTGATGGAATCCTATGACATAATGCACAAATCCAACAGCACCGATCAATTAGCTGTCCCCAGTGTACATCGATGTGTGTTATATCAGCCTATCAGCTTCTGCATAGGGGCAAAGTGGCGTGGTGAAAAAAAAAACACCTTATTTTCCTCAATGCCTTAAATGACTAAGGTGCCCTCTCACAAACTTCGCCAATCAAATTATCGGGCACTGGAAGTTGCATCTCTCTAGGAATGTAGAGGTTTACTAAGCAGGTTTGACTGCATGAGCAAATATTCTGGGTCTACATTATTGGATGTGCCCCGGTTTGCAACGAAGCGTCCCCATCCTTAATTACTGCAGATCAGATCTGGGTTATGCACAGTGTATTCTTGAAAGTCATTTGCAGTGTGGGGAGGGGCATTTTTTTCTGTGCTTTTCTACCCATTGCTTAAATCGTCTGCGTGTACGGCTTTGATACATGTATGGAATGGACCTCCGTAAACCCTTCTCCCCCCAAAAACGCTGGCCAGTCTGTTGGATGACTCCAGCTGATCTATGCCATCCCTGGGAAGGCGACAGAGTTATTGATCCCACCCTCCAGGCTTGGGTGTCCAGCGACAAGATCGGGTGCCGCTCCGCGCACGGAGTCAAGAGCCATGGCCTTATTTCCAAAGAGCAATTGTGATCGTTTGGTGCGCACTGCATGCAGGGTGAATGCAAAAAGGGGGGAGGGGGGGTCGGGAATGTGCAAAATGGATTCAGACGGGCTTAAGGGTACACACAAGTATGACCTCTGTTGCGAGGTCTGCAATTGATGCATCCAATAAGTACTTAAATAAAGTCTGTAAATTGCCACCCTCCCAAAAAAAACTCATGCGAGTCATTTGTGCATTGTATGATCAAGTATTTCTTACCAAGCTCCACATTTTTGCCAAACTCCTAAGATCCTGCCAGGGGGTGAGAATTCCTCTAAGGGGCTGTGTACAACAGCCGTAAGTTTAAATTTAACACATGAACAATCTCCATCCACAGACGTCTGAACTTTGTGCATGTGTACAAAACAAACAGGACCTTTATTTACGACCACTATCAGAAACTCAAGAACGGTTGACTTCTTCCAGCATTAACTACACAGGCCCATCGTCAATTAAGTTCAAATGCAGCATATAATTTACTTCGAATTGTTGAAAGTACGGTATTTGAATAACACAGTGTCCCCCCTCAAAAAATGACAATAAGTACCCCCCCAAAAAAGTTTCTCTACAAAATAATCAACTGGACCCATTCATGACATTCCGATTTGCAATCAAATTTCCTGGTGTTCTCTCACAAATTTCCCAGCGCTCAAAACTACTTTCTGCTTGCGTTTAACTCGGAGGAAGTGTACGCAAGGGAGGCTACAGGCCTACATGTATGACTGTCATCAGTCATGGAAGAAAGATACTGTGACACCCTGCATCAATTCTGTGCACATATTTCACGGGTTGTCATTTTAAATGTAAACCAATATGGCTGGTTCTTCAAAAGACCAGATGTGGGTGCCCACGCATGACCTTAGTGTGTTCAAGGAGTCTGCTTTTGGCCACATCAAATAAAAGTGGCATAAATAGAGACTGTGACCTAGAAACTATGGCAGCGTGCACATTTGGCTTTTTCATCTGGCTTTTTACAAATAATTTTTTGGGGGCAAAAAAATAAAGTCGACTCAATCTCAGACACTTAGTTGAACAATTACACTGAAAGGGGATTTATCATTGCTGTAAACAATTCACACAATCTGGGTACGTGCAAGTATTTACTTCTACGATTTGAGGCTGACTCACGCACCCTTTTGTACCGAGCGAGAATGTTTGTGACCCACTTGACTGAACAATTATATTATAGGAGGGATGTATGAACAGGGGCATATCAACATTTGACTCTTGGTCTGCTGTGCTCACCAAGGTGTATGTAACTATTCCCTAACATTGTAGAGCAAACCACACACAGATGGACGCCACTAGGATGGACGCCACTAGGATGGACGCCACTAATTCATCCTGCAGTGACCTTATAGCCATAAAACATCAATGCAATAATATGTTGTAAAAGGTCAAATAAGATAGGAAAAATATTGAGGGCCTCACTCAGAAATCACTTTGTCAAGACAAGTCTCATGGGTTTGTGTACAGGGTGTCAAGCAGGGTCCATGAGTTCTTTCCAGTGTTACTTTCTGGCAAGCAAAATGTGCACACTGGGCCGAGTGTTCACTAGTGTACCAGAAATCCAGAAGGTGAAAAATTGTACAGATTTTGTTATTTACTTTGTGAAGAGAATGATCCATGCAGTTTCAGGGTAATATGAACCATCTCATCCAAAGGGTAAAAAAGAGCAGGTTGACAGACATACTTTACACATACTGGAATGAATGCACAACGACTTACAACTTTACACGCACAAACGCGTTCAACTGATGTGCGTACTCAGCAACGTATGTTGTTTTTGCCCCAGGATCAAGAATAGATGGTGCACATTAACGTGAAACTGTTTATTCTAAAAGTATTTCCCAATTACACAAGAAAAGTTTCAGTCCCAACTCTGCATTTCTTTTCTGACTGCACTGACCAACCATGAACACTCATACATGTATGGGAAACTTTCTAATCCAGTACTTCAACAGGCCTAGGCCTACCCATATGGTTTTTTTTGGGGGGGGCTTTTTTTTTAATCTGACAAATCACAGCACGCAACAATAATTCAACAAAAACTTTAAAGTGTTAATATTTGACGTAGAAAATACACCAGCAAAAAACAGGCTGAATCATAAACACGTCACAGTGAATCAACGAATTGGTCAACTTTTTCGGGAAAAAAGGTTGCATCCTGACTCCCCTTTTCTCGTTATATATCATCTCAATAAAAGTCAGTCATTACAGAAATGCTGGGAAGACACAAATTCTGGACTGAGAAACATTGAACGATGTTGTTGGGAAATACTCAGAAAATTCTCTTCACTCCCCATAGACTTTGTACACAACTGCTGAAGTGGAGTCAGGATGCAACATTTTTGCCAGTTTTTCTCCTCCAGGTATCAAGCGGCATCCATAAACTGAGTTCTTTCCAACATTACTTTCTGGCAGCAAAATGTGCACACATATACATGTATATTTCACACCTGCAGCCCTTGCCTATGGCCACACACTGGGCTGAGTTCGAGATACCTTTACAAGAAACACCAAAAGCTCAAAACACAATTAAAGTTATAAACCCAGGTGGGAGAAGTTTACAAATGGACAAATTGCACAATTTAACAAAAGGGCACCAAGGAAAGACACTCAAAAAATTGTAAAAGGGAATATGGTTTGACCGATGCGCTACCGGCCGGCGCGGCGAGGTTGCGGTGTGGCCGGCCGGAGATTCGACGGCGCAATATCCAACCAGTAGGCCTACTAACAGATCACAAATCGGGGATAATGCATTCATCGCCAGTCCGACAGAATTGAATTTGGCTGAAACACGTGGAATGTACTTACATGCTGCGACACGTGATGACTCTGAGAAGACTTGGATCTGTAAAAACCACCAGTTTACCGGGTAAAATAGGGCAACACAAGATAGAACGCCGTGCTTTTGTCCAGACCAAACGTAAACATTGCTGCAGCTAACCGTACTGTGCATTATGTGTGCGGCCGGCCTCACGTACTCACGTACATTTTACGTACGTGCATGCCATACATGCATGCATAGTATGTACATGTGTAGCGCGCGCCGACTTTAAACCAACACTAGAGCTAGAGGGCGGGCTATCCATTTTTCAGGAACATCGGTGATGGGAACGGCCTTTTGTGAGATAAGTCTGTTATTATCGGCTGCATCCGAAGCTGTTGTCTACGACTTGCGTCTTGATCTTCGCCCATCTGAAATACGACAAAAGACGTAGCCGTAGACGTAGCTGACCTTTGCCTCGTGGTACCAGCCGTGCGAATTTCCTCGAGTGGAGGAAAACCCTAACAGCATCAGAAACCATCAGCAAAGTGGATGGGCTCCGAACTACATACTGTTTCGTTTCTTTTTAATTTTCTATTGTTATTTCCAGGTTGGGAGGGAGGCACGTGCCTTTGATCCCGTCGCCACGCCCATGTGCAGGATGACAACCCGCAAGATCGCATTTCGATCCATATTTCACAGCACATCGGATTTCATTTGATCTCAAGTATCAACACCATTAGCTCGGCCCCCCCCAAAAAAAGTTCTGTTGTGGAAAAATGGTAGGCCTTCACGTCTGTAGAAGTAATGATAAGTTCTCATGCCAGTTCAAAAGGGTGAACATAAAGAAACCTGTAGGGCATTTAGTTTGGAGTGGAAACATTTGAAGATGTCCATATTTTTCAATCGAATTTTCAAATCGTTCGAGTTTATTTTATATTTTCTTTTAAAATTTACAAACTTTTCCTACTCCCAGGAAGTACCCGTCATCTATAATACGGAACCATGTTCTTTATTTCCCTGACAAATGATAACACCGTAAAACTTCTTTGCGATTTTAATTTCGCGTATAACAATCCCCTTCCAGTAACCCTCGCAATGTTTTATTCTGGATTAATTAGAAGTTAATATCAAGTCGAAAAATTAGGTCATTTCTCCTAAATAAGTTGTCTCTAGAGTCTTACCGCAATCGGTTTTTTTTTGTGGTCCATCCAATCTCCCTAAACGAACAGACCCATTATTGGCTGATATTAGGGCCTACTTCCGATGTTTCAACAGAGATCTTAAGAAAGAAAAGAACTTACCGGATTTTGCATTGTGTCAATGTATGTAAGTTGAAAGTAGGAACTCCTCCATGTAGGCTTACCAATTAATTAATTCCAACACACATAACCTGGCGTCGGCCGGCTAAGAGGAACAACTTTGGACAGCTACCACTTCAACGTCCGTTCCTGGTGAGTACTTCGGACATTGTGGCGTTTGCCTCGGCATCATACACAAAAGGCACAGGCGCTAACCCATCTTTATTAGAGGTCGCTATTTATTTTCTATGTTGTCGTTAAAAGTTACCTCGCGTTTCCATACGATGGCGGCACGAAAGAATAGTGGAGGACCGGGACTACAGCGGAAATATGGGGTGAAGGGAAATTATATTTCCAAACGCTGAACACCTTTAATTTATGCCGTGACGTAGAATATAAAGAAGTCAATCATCGTTGAGATCTAACAGCAAATTGGTATTGTTGTAGCTCTGTGAATCAATGCAGATGGGATTGGAAAACAGTGTTTGGTTTCAATAGTCATATTACACTAGCTCTGGAGGCCCCACGCCCTAGCAGCGTCATTCGTGGGTAAGAATTCGTGCCACAGCAAGCTGATCTGCGCCAGGCTGAGCTTTAAGCAATTAATATCAACATGAGGCCCATGAGGGATGTTGATTACAATTTTCTGCCTGTGTGATTTTAAGAGATATGCTCCAACATCTGATATTTTGTTAGCAAGCCAATTTTAAGCGACCTCACGCGCCGGCCAATCTGATTCGACTTTTAAGGACTTCAGTTGTGTGACGTCCTTGTACTTCAGGCGGGAATGGTCTCAGAGCTTGTGATTGGTCGATAAGTGACAAGTGTACATCTTCTATGTCACTGGTGTTTATAGACTTTCTTTTTGGTTACAAACATCGACTGTCACGCATGGGTAACCAAAGTTTGCAGAAATGCATCTTATTTTTTTTTCAAAAAAGCATATTATGCTTCATCAAGCAATGTTTAATGACTGTTAATTTAGAATCTAGGTTAGTTAAGTGAGCCTTTATAATCGTTGATGGAAGATTGACTTCAAACTAATAGAAATATCATCATTTTTATTTTGATGTATTATTTTCGTTGATTGATTAAAATAAAAAGCGTAAGCAACGATTAAGTAACCACGAGTATTGTAAACATTGTTATGGCGACAAAGGAGGACGGACACAGGAGTTTGAACTGCGCGGGCTATAACATCTGGCCACTACCGCTTTCTGGCATGTTCGGTGTGTCCATAATAGCCAGAGCGCAGTGAATACTTGCTACGCACCACCTGTTTCAGAACCATAAGCGCCCTTTGATAATCATCGCAATTTGTCGCTGGTAACCTGCATCCTAAAACTTTGTGTGCTACAGTACAGGAAGTTGAATAGCCATGCCATCGTTGGTGCTTGGTAAAACTATGATCTGACATCAACAAAGTTATTGGTTGTGCAGTTGCTTTTATTAGGCTGTGTGCCCTCAGTGTTCATGTGCAGTTACTGCCTTTATCAAACGCTTTCTTCTGGACTTATTTTGGGAATAAAGAGCCAAGTTGTTTATCAAAATTTTGTGCCTTATTTGAATCATTTTTATCACGCAATTTACACAAAAAGGTATTTTATAAGATCTCATGATAACTCCTTGTGATGAAACAGCCCATTTTGTCTTTCGTGAACTTAACTGTCCTGTGGTGGTCAATATGTAGGCCTAGTTGGCCAGTCTTAGCCAAATTCGTACACTAAAGACTTTGAAAACTTATGTTTTGGGGTGACAAAATAAAATTACAAACAATGAATGAATAATGGAAAAGTACATCAAAATCTTTACAAAAAAATTCCACGACGGCAACAGTAAATCTAATGTTAGATTTTTTCTTGTTATTTCCTAGTCACGGCGATAAGTTGTAGTTACTAAGAAAACACTATAGCGCACTGAAGCACGGACCGGGCTGGTTGATGTTTGGAGCATTGGTATTATTCAGGCTCCAATCACCATGAAAACTACATGTAAAAGATATAAAATACACAAAAATTGTTTAAATCTAAGGGACAGCTTATTGAGAATTAAAATCACATGGGAATATCTAGAGAAATTAAAGACCAAAGCTCCCTAGGAATTCAATGAAACAACGAGCTTACATGACCACGAATACAACCGAAGTTAACATTATAGATCAATAGGTGCTCAAAATTCTCAAAACACTAAAGTCGACAAAAAGGGGAATGAAATCAGCAATGATCAAAAACTATGAAGTAGACATTGACAAAGATTATTGTAAATGCAACACTTGGAAGGCCAATGAAGAAAGCGTTATTCAACGTACGAAGGCCAGAAACTTAATAACGCAGAGTACTAATTAAACCATCAACAAAACACAATTGTAAATATTAGTACAGATCAATATCCTAACGGCGTTTACGCCTATTGTCCAGCCTTTACGCAGTACACGTATACTCAAAACGGCAGCTCCATGTGCATCGTAACATCACCAAGTGGAAAAGTACTGGCAAATATCTTGAAATGCTGATGAGAGCTCGACATGCGGGTAATATGTAGTGTTACCCCGACTGGAAATTTTGGACAGTGCCAACGTGGCCAAGAACTTCACCGTCTTAAGGACAGTTACCATGGAGGTAGCTCCATGGTTTTTACTAAGGGTGCACCACTACAAATAAATTCCCATAGACAGCAGTGATAAATCCCCATACTTCACAAACATTTTAAAAATACTCACAACTCTCACAGGTGTTCAGGCTGCACAGAAAAATGATGTTCCAC